TGCTCAGGGAGCGAGAGCAATTGAAATTGGGGGGAAACTATGTCCAGAATTTCAAAATGGCATTGTGGGGTTTTTATTATTATTATTAATGGGAGAAAACTATGTTCTTCATATAAACAGCTTTATCCAAAATTAACAATAGCTAATATAAATCTCACGTGTTTGTTTTGTATGTGGTGGGGAAGAACCAACAGCGAGGAGGGCCTCCTTCCCTTTACGTAATTGAAAAATTTTAATATATCTGGTGCTTAGCTGAAGCAGCTTCTGGGGGGGGGTCTCTTATTTCAGGACTGTGGAAATCAGCACATAGTGGACTCTGGGGCAGTAAATCTCCACCCTTCGCTGTGCTGAGTGACAATCCCGAATTGTTTCACTGCTCTGCAACACCCAAACTGCGATTCTAGCCCTCATGGAGTTCCCCTTTCTCCTGCACCCAGACACACCTCTGCCAAGAGGAGGTGGCAGGGGAAGGTGACACAGCCTGCCCCTAGAACCCTCTCCAGAAAGGGACCTCAGCCATCTCTCATCTGTTCCATTGTTGGACCTAAACTACCTGAGCAGTGAGGTGCTGCCTGGTCCCTCCACCCTAGGCTTGGAGGCGGTGGGACCATCCTCACGTTTGTGTTCAAATGTTGTTCTTGTAGAGCCTTAAAGCCTGACTTTCCTGTAGAATAACAATACCATGTACCTACAGTCCTTACTCAGTACCTCTTGCAGCCTGATCTGCTTTCCTCATACAATTAAACTACCACCATCTTCTACGTAGACGTGAAGGAAAACAGAGCTGGGCCTTCGGGTGGTGGGTTTGGCCTTTTCTAACGCAAAGCCAGGCCGCAAGTGTGGAAGGCAACTAAGTCTTGTGTCCTTAGAGATGAGGAATGAAAGTCTGAGTGAGATTTAGATAACCTCGTCAAAACCCGGGCACGATGGAGATAGAACTGGAACAGAATGTTTTGCAAAAGGGAATTTAAATAATTTGTTCAAATAATCTATAATTCTAGTAATCAGACTTAACAGAGCTGGAGGTTGCCTTGAGTCACTCTAACAAGAGCTGATGACAGTGGCCTTGTCCCAGCACTTCTGCCAGTGATCACGGTAATCAGCATCTCAGACAGGAGAAAAAGGGTCACAACTTTAAAAAAAAAAAAAACAAACAGGCACGTATTATGTAGGCAGCACACCTTAAGTAGAAGCAGAAGGCAAAAGGATTTGGAATTAAGTAGGCTTGTTGGTAACCCATGAAATTCAGTAAAATGGAGGGATGTGATTAAAAAAACTGCGTTCATTTTTATGTTACCAAACTGAATTTTCTACAGAGCACCTTTGAATTCATTAGTTTAGAACTGCTTTTAATTTGGTGTTTCCCTTGAGAGCCATTATATTTTTCTGCTGTCAGCCTGATGTTGAGGAAAAAAAGAAAACTGGCAGATGTGGCGTTTTCATCTAGTGTGCTTCGTAGTTAAAAACAGCATTAACTGCTATGCACAAGCAGAGCATTACTTTTAATAATCCATCACAACTATTAAGTAGTTTAAATAAACTTAGTTTCAAAGATTGCTGCCATGTACAGCTAACACATTTTTTCTTGTTCATTATAATCCTTCTGTGTTACAAAAGGATGCATATGTGTGATTATTTTTTTTTTTTTTGGTAATAAACCCCCTTGAAAAGTCTTGAAAAATCTTTAACAAAGAGAATTTAAAAAAAAAAAGAAATTTATATAGATGTCTGGCAAAAACAGCATTTCATATTGTTCTTACAGTGTTTTATACTTCTACTCCTGATGTGACTATATATAGTTTACAGCCTCATTTACTTTAATGTGCTACCTGAATAACATAATCATAGCAATAACTATGGTATAGGGTTGTAAGGTGCATGAACCGCTAATGCTTTCTGACGATTTAAATGACTTGTTCATAAAATGTTCTTTTAATAATAGTGGTAAAGCTTTTAGCACTAGATGTCAAAAATGCGAAGAATATTGGCTTTCTCAAGTGTTATTTCTTTTTCTAGCTAAAGTGTGTTTTAATAATAAATAGCACCAAAAGCCAAGGTTACGTGGCGCTCGTCTGTACGGCGGGATGCAAGCAAGAAGACTTTTCCCACGTATGCAAACGGCTTGACCTCTGCCTGCCCAGTTATGTAACATCCCTAATGTGTTTACTATTTCTTTGTTTAGTTTAACAAGATGTCTCTTTTATCAAGAAAGGTCAGTATAACCTGCAGGAAAAAAAAAAAAAACAACATCACAATAGGTGCCATATTAGTCTGTCGCTGCTTCATAAAGCTCTCTCTCCAGCAAAAAGGACTATGCCTTTTGTATTGTAAATTGGGCAGAGTTGTACCACCTAAGACCAGCCTTTCCAAAGGAAGGTGCTCTGGGAAGTCAATCAAAGGCCAAGCAACTGCTGGGGGGAAAAAAAAAAATAAAAAAAATAAGTGTGGTTTTCTTTTCAGTTAAGCATCTTCAGGAATGTATTTCTTTCTGTATCTCCAGGTTATTCGGCGTTACAGGGAACTGTGCTGCCTGCAGTAAGCTCATACCCGCTTTTGAGATGGTGATGAGAGCAAAGGACAATGTTTATCACCTGGACTGTTTTGCATGTCAACTTTGTAATCAGAGGTAAGAGAATTTCTTGGGTCTGGTCCATGAGCGAAGTGCTAATTCGGCACTGGTGCCGGTATATGTTCAAGCGAAGAGGAAGCATCTAATAGTAGTAGAAACCCAAGACTTGAGAGTAAGACCTGGGTACTTTTCCTGGGACTGACACAGAACATCTTTCATGACCTTGGCCAGAAAACTTTTTGTGCCTCAAGTCCCGCATCAATAAAAAAGAATAATGTTACTTCCTCTCCTTCAAAAGGCTGTCTGTCAAGTTTAATTAATTAATATTTATAAAGGACTTTGAGATCCTTTTCTGCAGAAAAGCATAGCAGTACCATTTGTCATTATTACATTAATTCCACTTTAATTCTTGATTCTTATCCCATGTATTTCTTTTAAAGTACATGTTGTTTCTTCCTGTTGCCAGAACTGTAATCATTTAGATTTAGAAGATGTTGCTCCCACCATTTTCTCTGCAGCAGCATTGGACTTCTTACTCCCTATTTTTATTCCCATATCCTAACCGTAGGTTATAAAAATCCCAAGGATCCAAACCTGACACTTTGTTCTGAGGCATCTCCCATACAGTACAGTTGCAGAACGAATGTCAAAAATGGTAAAAGTATAACAACTGAATTTTTCAGAGGCGAATGCAGTCAAACTTATAGCAACTACATTCAGAGCAGTGGCCAAATCCTGTCAGATTTCACCAAGAGCTTCATTTCTGACTCCACGAGCACTGTTAGCAGCTTTGCCAGTGACTTCCATGAGGTCTAGAAGTGAGAGAACCAATTATATCCACTTCTTAATATACCTATTATTTTCAGTTATTTTTCAGCGATTACAAGATCCTATTTAGAGTTTTATAGCGTTCTTTTTTTTTTTTTTTGTCACTTTCAGGTGGGAAGAAACACAAGATATACTCTTTTAGGGAAGTAACAAAAAATTAGGGAGATAATAGTCTAACACGACAAAGTTAGATACAGCTCTAAATAAGCTTTGCTAACTCACCTTGTCCTACAGTGTATTATTTTGTAACACTGTAGTCATTTAAAAATCAAACATCCCTAAAGAACCATAAAATGTACAGCTGCTAATAAGTGTAGCACACTACAATTACGCTCTTTTAAAAAAAGCCAAATTGACCTTTTTCATCATGTTGCATGGGAAATTAAAATACCAGGCAAGTAATAACCACTGCTTAAACTATATAATAATGCAAAGTAATTATAGGTTCTAATGCTATTTAAAGTCCTATATCAATTTTGTCTTGCCACAGAACTAAGAGGCTGCATTCTAAGGCAGGCAGAGCCTCCCGTAGTACCCACTTAAGTAAGACACACGCACACTCCTAGGTTTTGTTTCTTAAACCCTTCACATCCCTGGTTTTTTTTTCAAACCACAGTTCTAGTATCATTATTAAAGCGCCTAATATATTTCTGTTGTTCGCTTCATTTATTACATGCCATAATGGGGCTGCATATCTTTAGTGTTGGTTATGCACAATTAGCACTTAGTTATTGTCTTGTCACTTCAGCCCATACAAGACAAACTTCTTTAATGTAAGAAGTCAGCTAATCTTCATCAGTCAAGCAAAGCAGACAATGTTTGTTACCCTGAGTGTAAAAGATTTTCATCATAGTTAGCACTCTTGGATCCGAGGAAGTGAAGTTTCTTTTATGCACCCCCGCCCAAAAGCGAAGCTATTGTGATTATTTTTAATGTTCCTCTTTTACCATTACAAGTGTGCACTGATGTACAATTTCACTTTGCAGCTAATGTACGTCACACTGTGCTGTAGGGCCACTGATCCCCCTGGAAAAGTGCTGTTAGGTGCTTCTGAAATGGAGCTTCCCTGCGATATTTAATAATTCTTAGCCTTGTCATTCCTGAGCCTTCAATCTAGTCTTTTTATTTGATTTTTACTTTGCATATAATTTGGGCAAAGGGTTGCTGAAATAGTCTTAAAGGAGTCTTAGGCTGGGAACAAAAGAATTTATTTACCTGAAATACAGTCTAGTTCATCTAGTCAAACAGGAAGCAGTTTCAGAAGTTTCAAAGAATTTCAGAAACTCTCAAAAGTGTCCCTAATCCTGATTATATTGCAATAGCTCTCCTGGAGCCTAATAAAACAGACTGCCTGTAGGGTACCTTTCTTCCTCACAATTTGGGGCTAGTGGCACCCTGAAGAATTATTTCTGTTGTTTTTAATAATAAATCCTATTTCATGGATGCTCCAACGTAGCTCTTCTGTGGCTCCTATGGCAAAGCATCCCACTGACTACATTCTCTCATTAATAAATAGCTTTAAATCTTTTGGTTTTCATTACCTGTACAACATAAAAAAACAGAAATGCTAGACACCTGAACCATCATCAGTTTTGGAGGTTTTTTTGTATCTGCCATGAAACCTTTTTTTCTTTGCTTTTAAACTGAATAATCTTGTCAGTCACGATGCCATTAACAATTTCCGTTACCCTTCTCTGGATCCTTTTTTCTTCCTCTAGTTAAGCTAATCAAAACCAAACAGCAGATTCTGAGTGAGGATGAGTTTGTAAGATAGCAATTTAACTTTCAATCTTTATTCCATGATGCCCCTTTGTACGCAAAATAATGCTATTGATGTTTTCCTGATCTGCTCTTTCCTTTCACTATCCCTAACGTGGAATGTATTTATTGAAGAGAATATTTTTATATACAAACACATCAGTGATATCCCAAAATCACCAATGGAGGTAGCAAGGCTCACCAGCTATAGCAAGACCTGTACGTTTGACCATATTCCCCACCTTCACATTCTCTTTCCCTATTAAATTTTAGATCCTTTGGGTCATTCTTTATACCAATAAAAGTACAACATATTTAGAGCACTGCTGCAGAGTATGTAATGCTCTCTGTTCAGATCCATATTTCAGATTTTCAGTTATCATCTACCATTTAGGTTTTTTCCTAACGGAATATATGCTATGTTCATGAGTAGAGTAAACTGTTTTTTCAGTTTACATTACTTTGTCTTTGCCAACACTGAGTTTCTTCTGACGTTCTGTGCCTAGTAGCTCCTTCCAATCCCTTCTGCCTTCCAAGCTAGCTCATAATTATATTAACTCACATCACACCAATCCTTGGGGCAGACTGTTCTTCAGGCTTGCTATTGCATGACCCTCATATTCCTACCCTTTAAATAGTTGATCTCGGCCCAGCAAGAGAGGGTTCTGCCCATTTTTGCCTAGTGCTTTTTGTGACAGATTAGGTGATTTTTCAGCTTTTATGTACAGATTCACTATTTGCTTTATTATTTTTGAGTATCTACAACTCACCTTCAGCTCAAGTCTCAGTGTGGATGGTAGTTAGGCCCCCTTGATTTCAGGGGAATTTTGTTCCAGCCGTAAACTCCATCTCTGAACTAACTCATGATGTGCCTGTCCCCTTTTATTGGCCTCCTGAAGGCTACATTTTCAGAGTGAGAAGAAAAATGCATTGTCTCACATACGATATTCTAGGAAGACAGGCAGTAGACAGGACTGTAGACGTAGGCAGGGCCGAAAGACACCTCCTGAGACACCAAGCCTAGTCCCCTGGTGTCAAATAGGCACTGTCTTGTATTTTCCCTTTCATAAAGCTTCTATTGTTGAATTCTAGGATCTAATTGCTCCATCCAACCAGTTTTTGACATATTTTCCCTTTTTTTTTTTTTTCCTTTTTTCTTGATACTGATGCTTAAAACTGTAGGGATTTTGTGAATATTAAGCTCTGCTCCTAGCCTAAAGGTTTTAGCATCTCCGTATCTTTCATGTCTCTGTCCAGCTTACTCCTAATTTGAAGTTTTTCCATCTCCTAAATACCTCTAGAGCTTGGTGACAGTTATCTTAACATCTTCCTCTTCTGTAAACAATTTAAACTTCTCCTCAGAAGCACTTCACCTCACATTGGCAGTAGCCTCAACACGGTTAATTTCTGCTTGATGCTTAAAACTGTAGGGATTTTGTGAATATTAAGCTCTGCTCCTAGCCTAAAGGTTTTAGCATCTCCGTATCTTTCATGTCTCTGTCCAGCTTACTCCTAATTTGAAGTTTTTCCATCTCCTAAATACCTCTAGAGCTTGGTGACAGTTATCTTAACATCTTCCTCTTCTGTAAACAATTTAAACTTCTCCTCAGAAGCACTTCACCTCACATTGGCAGTAGCCTCAACACGGTTAATTTCTGCTGAAAATCTAAAGGGGGAAAAAAAAAAAAGGAAACCACTGGAAAAATAAACTTGTAAACAGACACTGCCTTTCACACTTTGTCAGGTTGCATGCGTGTGACTAGCAAAACGGAGTGGAAAATCTTGCGAGTGGGCTCAGCTGTATCTTTGCTTGACACTTCTGACTACGGCGATGATCTCAGTCTGCCTTCGGCTTTCCCACTTTCCGGAGTTTCCATGTCCTTCCTTTCACTCTGTCGGCTGCTTTAGCAGTTTGTTCCATACTTCTGCCATATTTTCTCTCGGCTGATTGAAGTCAACTCAGGGTAGGGTTTAAAACTCCCATCTGCTATCAGAGGGGTGTTTGAATCAACTGTTCTACCCTTCTATCTGAAACAGCCTTTATTTTAATGGGTACTGGACTGAAAATGGTGGTTACATGTTCATTCAAATAGCTGTCCTGATGTAGCAGTAAACACTTACCTCCAGTATAAACTGTAAAATGCCCACACAATGCTGCCTTTGTTCTCTGTCAAGCAGGGGGGAGGGTATGCAATGCCAGGGACATCCTTATTTCAAACAACAACATTAGGTTTTTTGCATGAGTGGTGATTTTATAAATTCTGGAGACCTGAATGCTGTTTATTTTCACCAAGTGTCTCTAGACTGGGAATAATAATTAATACATTTTCCATACCTGCTTTTTAAAAAAATAGTAAATGAAAAGCACACCAAGTTAAGGTTAGTCATTGTGAGTTGAACCAGGATTTTGTGTGTCTATATATCACATTGTACTGGTAAAAATGTACAAACCCAGGCACAGCTCCCACTTCCCAGCCTCCAACAATAAATTGACATTTTGACAGAATCCTAGAATTAGTAAACCATAGGTGTGGACTGATGAGCTGTGATGTAAAAGAGTGGCTTTGTTCTCTTAGTGACGCTTATAGATTACCGTTAATTTGAGTTAGACTGGAAACTCAAAGGAGCTTTATGAAAAAGAGAAAAGGAGGAAGAGCAGAGGACAAGTTACATCACTGAGTACACAAAACAGAGGGGAAAGGTGTGGGTGTGGTAAGTCTGTGCTTTCTTTATCCTAGAGGAAATCAATTAAATGCTTCCAGATTTTGTTTCTTCCTACAACAAAGATCTGGCATTACCAGAGGAGGCACTTCACACACAGCCATCTTTGTTCACAGCAATATTTCTTTCACTTTCTTAAGAAGTCTTTGGTACCTTGACATGTCCTGTAGATCAGAAAAGATGACAGGCAGCAGTGAGATCTCCTTAAATATCTGTTCTGAACAATGAAATAGCTATTTCTCACAATGGAAGTTTTATACTTCTCGTGATTAGTCGAGGCACACCTTCCCCTTCCAAACAAGGTGATAACAGAGGTCATTTTGTAATATAAATGGCTTTCCTTTTGCCATTGTAAAATATGACAGGAGTTCTAGGATGTAGGTTAATTATAATGGTCATTCTACTAATGTCACAGTCGTGTCAAAAGTAGTATTATCAATTTATGGTGGTAAGTCCAATCTGGCATGTTAATGCAGCCTATTGTATATTTTTCCCCGTTCATCTTGCATGCCTATTAAATAAATTGGGTGAGGGTTTTAGGAAAGGCTGAAGACTACCATCTGCCTGCTAGGAGAGTAATAGTCTTGCCTCATTATACACTCCTAACCCAGTGGCATCTCAATATGCTCCTTGACTCCATTTGATATACGTGCCCAAATTGTGCCCTGATTTACATCCTATGCCAATTCCACGAAAAAAAAAACCACTTTGCTGGAGGTTGAAGGCTAGGCTTGAATTTACCCTTCCATTTTAAAGCTGAGGCAGGCTTAAATCCTGGATTGCACGAAACCAATCTGAAGTAGTTGCAAGATTTACCTCTTTGACTTCAGAAGAGGCTAAATCTGCTTTTGAGAGTCAAATAGAAGGTTGAAAGTATGGACGGACCAAGCTTGTTATATTCCCACCACCTAATTGCCTGTTCTCATTGTATTTAGGAGCTAGCATGCCACCTTTAAATGTTTTTTCACCTAGCCCTCACCTCCTGGCACCTAATGAGAGCATAATTCACACATTCAGTACCCAGGGACACGTGTAAACCTCACTGTCAGTCTTTGCCAATGTGTTTCTGTCACTGAACTTGCACTGAACACAAAAACAGTTGCAGAATTTGGACGATGGAGTTAAGGTCCCCCCCCCCAGCACGCCAACGCAGCCCCAGATGAACCCGGAGGGGGTCTTTACCTTGCAGACAGACCCCCCCACACACACCCCACAGGTTATCACACAGCCAAGCGTGTCTAGACAGGCCACTGGCAGCCTCTCCACCAGACAGCTGTACACTTGGAAGGTAAATGATTTGTGGAACCGTGTGTGTTTAAAGCCACTCATGCATAAAGCTGTCAAATGCCATGTAGACATAGGTAGAGCATTTCTGGCTGGGGATATTAACATAGCAAAAGCAAAAGGCATTGACACCTTTTATTGGGGAAGGCATCCCCCACTCCCTCGTGTAGCTGGTGCCGTTTAATTCCAACCGGGGCACTTCTCTGCGGGCTGAGAAACAAAACCCTTCAGCCAGGGTTTTGAGGCAAGCAGGGGAGTTGGACTAGATGATCTCTATGGTCCCGTCCAACTCTAAAATTCAGTGAAATTCAGTGAAAATATTGCAAGAAGTCACCTGTGAAAGCATCGCTGTGCGAGTGGATTGCGATGCGGCAGCCTATTTTTCATTTACTAAATATTTTAAGCAAATTAGTCTGCTAAGTGCTGTGTTATGCTGGAACACAAAGCGAGGCGTAGCTGAATAGCATTCACAGCTCAGAGTTAGTGGTTTCTGCTGGGCAGACAGAGGTGGTTGTGTCTCTCACTGGTGCCCCACCTGCAAGGAGAGATCCCAAAAACCCTCTGATGTCATTGGCGCTGCCAGATGTCCCCAGATCAGTCCTCATCAGTAAACCTTGGGCTAACTGTAATGGAGGGACTGATTTATCACAATGCCTGATTTCCACTGCTTTACTCCACTTTAATACCTATGTTTCTGTAAGAGCAACTAAGAAGGAAATTTTTTTAATTATTATTATTTTTAAATGTGACTTCTTTGGGAAAAACACTTTCACACATTAGCACTAATTAAGACCCCTTTACCTAACCCGAGAAGATGCACAAAATAATTTTTTGTCAGCATTGTGGTCTTGTGGATAAAAATACAAAGGATGGAAACTACAGAAGCCTCCGCAGAACTTGTTTGTTTCAAGAATTCTGCATTTCAACACATTTACTCAAAATACTTTTCTGTTGTTACTAGCCTAATATACCAGGATTGGGGTGGGAAGGGTAGCAGGAACCTGTAAATTCTATAAAAGAGTCTTGACCATAAATAACTTAAAGATTTTGGGATCATTCCATAATCTCTATTTTCAATCATCATCATCAGCAGGCAGTAATCCTAGAGAAAAAAAAAAGTCCACAAATAAACAAACCAATTTTCCTTTAAGAGCAGAGCTAATTCTTTTCAATCCACTTTTTTATTACACTATTTTCCCTCTATCTATTTAGCTAGCATAAGGATAAATTTCCAAAGCTACCCAGTTGGAAAATAAATGGGTTCACTGTTTGTCTAGCATTCCAATCTTCACAAATGTAAATCAGTCCAACTGCTACTCATTTAAACCTCCAACTTCACAAAACATTAAAGGACTGCTTTCAATACACAATTTAATCTGTGACAATTCACCAAGATTTCTGCTTGAACATCATTAGAAATTGACTATCTGATAAAGAGAGACCACTATCAGAGGTCAGGCGGGTCAACCTGTGTCATTTACGTAGTTTTACTGGGTCAAATACAGCAGGCACCACTATTTGAAGGTTAAATTGTTACAATTAAATACATATACAGCTATTCCCATAGCTACTCTGTTGTTAAATCTACCGTAAACAACACAAGCATTTATATCTGACCCTAATTGTGTCCAAGATGTCACCATTTGGAAATTATACAAAAAAGGACATTATAATCTGTTACACATTAAACAATGCTTTATGTAGTGAGATCCATAATTAGCTGGTAGAAACCGGTTTCATTTATTCACATCAGTGTTAAGGGGTTCATTTAGGTTACTTTCTTTCATTTTAATTGGAATAATGTGAGCAGTGCCTCCCAATATATTTTATTGCTGGAGAGTTCACCATAAACAAAGGCACGTAACCCTGCCAAGGCAGTCACTAGGGAAACTCTCTTTCTATGCCTTGGCCCTATTCACTTGCTCCCTGAGTATCCTCAAGAAGACTGGCTTTGTTGGGGGGAAGGGTTGAGGAGGGGGGGGGTGTCAGTGAAGAGCCTTCTTATGCTCAAGCATGCTGCGTAGCTGGGAAATCCTACTTTACTGGAAGTTTGAAGCCAGTCAGCTGGGAGAGGGGATGTTACGTGATTTTCCTACTCATCAGAGAAAATCAAATGCAATATCTCAGTAGCGTTTTGTAGCAATCGGATCATTCCGATAGTCTAACAAGGTAGGTATACTGATACCACGAGAGAGAGAGTAGTTAGCCGAGTAACTAAATTTATTATCAACTCCTACAGGAAAAAAAAGGAAAAAAGGTTTCTTTGCATCCCTGCCTGCGCCTCTCTAGTTTGCACCGCAACGTATGTGTAAAGTTGTGTGTATGCCAGAAAGGGTTCTCAGAACCACTGCTTTAAATCAATTCTAGTAAAATCTCCAACAGGAATCTAATAAGAATTTCCTACAAGACAAACGTATCTCAGATGAGCTTCCCGCTGCAGACGATCCTTTTTTTTTCTTTTTCCTTCTTTATTTTCCTTCTGATTTGCGTGCAAGCAGGACGTTTACTTTTCCCCCAACTCAGTAGCCTGGGATATTTATTCTGTTTTATCTGGGTGCGAGTGACCTGGTCCAAGACTCCCACAGTCTTCGGTGGGCTTTGAAGGAGTTCCTTGGCTGGGGAAGCAAAAAGCGCTTGAACGCACTAGATTTTGTTGAAAGCACAGGATTAATTCTGATACCAGAGCAATTCCTCTGCTGGGCTTTCCCCTACGTGCACACGTGGCTGCAGAGTTGTCAGCCACACGGTCACCACAACAGAACCATGAACACTTGTTTTACAGTCCTTACGTGTAAGATCGTGTTACGTCGTTGATCCTGAAACTATCTTTCCCCCCCCCCCCCCTCCTTTATTGTTGTAATTTCAGATTTTGCGTCGGAGACAAATTTTTCCTGAAGAACAACATGATTCTGTGCCAGACAGACTATGAGGAAGGTTTAATGAAAGAAGGTTATGCGCCCCAGGTTCGCTGATCTGATGCCGCATCGTTAAGAATACAAAGCACTACGTTCTTTTATCTTTTCTGCTCAACATGTATATAAGAAATGACACAGGAACCTACTGAATAGCATAGATCTAGGGAGACAGAATGGTTGCGTGAAATAAAAAGGCGGACTGCATCTGTATGTAGTGAAAATTGCTCCAGTTCAGAGTTGAATGTTAATTAAAAAGGTACTGTACATACAGCTGGATTCTTTTTGCTTGCTCTTGGGGTTTTTGGTTTGTTTGGGGTTTTTTTTTGTTTCTTTTTGTGTCATTTGGCATGAGATGTTTATTTTGGACTATTGTATATAATGTATTGTAATATTTGAAGCACAAATGTAATACAGTTTTATTGTGTTACCATTTGTGTTCCTGTTTGCTTCTTTGTATTGTTGCATTTAGTACAATCAGTGTCGAAACTTACTGTATATTTATGCTTTCTGTACCTACCAGCTATTTTAAATGAGCTGTATCTTTCTAGTAAAAAGAATTAAAGAGCAAATCCCAACCATTATGCTACACTTAGAGCTTAAGAATACTGTTTACATTAAAACTATTTAGAAAACTAATAACTCTAGCAGCACCTGCTGCTAATGATGCTATGGTTAAGGGTCTATCAGCACTTCTGTTATAAGCCTCTATTTTTCAGGGGTTAAGCATCTGCTGTTTAATTGCATAGATTTTCCTCAAAGAGCACTTTTATTTTACTACAAAAGTTTGAAAAACAAATCTGACCGGTTTGGGATATATTCTAAAAGGCGCAAAAGTTAATGATTTTGGGTGCTGCTTTTGTGCCCCTTAGGCATTCAAAATGCCTGGATTTGATTTTTAATTTAGCTGGAAATTAAGCCCTAATGCAAACCAGTGCCTCTGGGTATCTTATTTTATATATATATATAAAAATATATGTTATTTTTCTGAAATCATTTACTTTTTTGGGGGGAGGAAAGGGAGAGAGCTTCTGTTTATATACATTTTTAAAAATTGAGGGGTCTCTCTCTCTCTTTCCTTTTTCTTAATTTTTTTTTAAATTTTTTTTTTTTTTGAATCAGAGCTTAACCCTGACGTTTTCTGGGGCTGTGTCCTCAAGAAACCCTGGAAAAAGTGAAAGTAGAAGGCACTGTAAACAGCCCCCTCTAAGGGTCTATTTACATTAACGAAATGACACTAGGAGAGTGACTGGTTACTAACTACCCACCTCGGTGAATGCTGAAGGTAATTTAAATGCTGATGGGGATGGGACAAAACTTTGAAATATCAATACAGAAAGTGAGAGCAACCACACTGGACTTCACAGGTACTTTGCTGTCCGTGCCAACCGTCCTGCAGGTTTGTCCCATCAATACTGGCAATTAAAATCCTTTTGACAGAGGTGGAGTCGCAGCTGACAGCTAACTGTTGGCAAGCAGTCCATTTTTTAGGAGAGGTGAACCTCCCTTTTTTAAAGCCATGAAGCTATTGCAGCAGCAGGGTGTCCCCGAGCGCTCGTGCCCCTGACAGAGCTTACAGGTGTTTGGCAAAGGAAAGCAGGATGAATGTTTAAAAAGTTGTTAAATGCATATTTAATTCTTCTCTCTTTGCCACTGTAATCTACCCCACCGGGAAAACAGCTTGCATTTTAAAAAAAAAAAAAAACAAAAACAAAAAAAACCCCAAACACAACAACAAAAAACAACAATCTACCCCACCGGGAAAACAGCTTGAATTTTAAAAAAAAAAAAAAACAAAAACAAAAAAAACCCCAAACACAACAACAAAAAACAACATTAAAGAAAAAAAAAAAAGAAAGAAAGAAAGAAAAGAAACCCACTACAGCCTATGTTGCTATTAAGCTAAGCTCTTGGTTTTATTTAGACTAAGAACCCCCACCTCTGCTCAAGTTCAGTGCTGTCCTTACCTGCCCTTCCTGTCCCCTTGTGCAGTTTTAACATGTTTTTTCTGGGGATGGGGAAAGAAACTTCGTAACGCAGTGGGGTAATTCCTCTAGTGTAGGGTTTGGAGTACACTGCACAGTGGCTTGATTTAGAAACGGATATTTAATGCTAATTACTATTGTTCCAGTGTGGTTTTGTTTCTGGCTGTGAACCCTGTTAAAAATAAGCATGGCTCGCAAAACTTGACTTTGACTCATACAGGACCAGTAAGAAATGCAACGACTCCTCAGGCTGTTCTTGCTAATTAGAAGAAATAGCTCCACATAGTTTTTCAAATGAAATTTAGCCTTATTTTGTGGACTATCTTCCTTCCTAACCTTGGGCACAAGTCTCTCTTCCACTCCCTTCCACAGCCGCTTAATGTCTTTGGGATAACGAAGCAGTTGATGTCAGAGGTACTGTTAGGCTCTTCCAGATCTACTTCAAGTGCAATAAACAAGTCATCCTTGCCATGAAGATGAGGATGGCCAGAAAGGGAAGAATCATATTGTCTTATTTTGATTCCAATTTCAAGATTCTCCTCCAGCCTCTGTTTCTTCTTTCAGTTAGAAACCCGAAAGGTCTCTCTTCTGCTTTCCACTAGTAGACTACAGACTGGGTAGAAATCCTTGGTTCAGAAATAAGGCTGGGGACCAGGAAAGAAGGGACCTTGGTTCTGTCTTTGACTTGCTGTAAGCTTGGGCAAGTCACTCAACTTCTCTGTGCCTCAGTTGCCCCTGTCTTGTCGAACGGGGCTAATGCATACACTGCTTTTGTAAAGCATTTTTGGCTCTTTGGAAAATCAAGAGCTATGCATGCCGATGTTACTAGTAGCGTTAGGACACTCTGGGAGAAGCAGAGCATTCCCATGTGCAGTAGGTAACCACAGATCTGAGGTAGAAGAGCACCAAAACCAACTTAGCCTGTGGAAGGCTTTGTTGGGGATGGAGGCAGCAACACGCTAGTAGTCCTGTACATATTAAAGCACTCTCTCATTACCACAAAGTGCCACTGCTCAGCTCTTTATGGGGTAAATGAAGAGAGTGGAATGGGGGAAAATAGTGGCTTATTGTAACATGCCATGTTACTCATATGTGCATGTGGGTGTTTTGTGATATATGCTTAAAATGGGGAAGAGGAGGGTGGTTCCGCTATGGAGAAAAAAAATAGTCTCACCGTTCTATCAACCTTAATTGATGTAAGGATAAAGAAATATTGATATGCTTGTTTGAAGTGCTGCAATGGTACGGCATTGCTTTGAGCACTTTAAGCTCATATATCTTATTCACATGCATACCTAAAATTTCTATGTAGAGGATACAGTATAAACTTAGATTTGAGGTAGGTCAAAGATCAATTACACATTTTCCTGTATTTCAAACTTCCATCTTGCCTGGCTGTTAAAATAATAACCGGGAGTTGAAATATTTAATGGAAACATTTACAACTCCAATAAAGTATAATATCATAAGACAATATTGAAGAGAGATTATCTGCCAGACTGCTTTATTGATCTTTTTGACAGAGATCTAGACCATTCCTTTGGGTTGCTTTTAGTCACCTACTTTAGGTTTCCTTCTCCATCACCGTGTGTGTCAACATGCTCTGTTTGCATACAGCAAAGTGTTCCACTAGTGACCATTGCTCAATGTCTGCTCAATGCCAGGCAGGAATGCTTCCACTTGGATCTCTTATCTTGAGGGGGTTTTATCTCTGTCTGTACAAATCCCTAAGTTTATCCAGACAACAATAATAACAATTTAAAAAATCTATTACTATTGGGTTGCTGTTTTTTAAGCCACGTGGAAGAGAACAAATTATCAAACTTTGATTTTCAACCTTAGAAAGCTCCTCTGCCAACCATAACCTGCTGTGTCTGTTATCTGCCACGACTGGTGATGAATCAGGACAGCCTGGATTCTGCAGAAGCAGTGACCAAGGCTAAAAGTTGATCTGTTTCGTAATTGTATTTTTATCTTGCTTAACATATTTTCTAGGTTTGTGTTGTTTTTTTTTTAAGCACACCTTGCCTCTTCCTACCCTCCCCAAATGCTCAAATTTATGCTTATGTACTGTAAATAAAGAAAAATCATCCATCGACCCCTCAAATGTTCCTAATTGCCTGCATATAAAAAGACTTGAAGAAAATAGATTGAAAAGTGGTCAGTGAGAAGGGAGACTGAGAGGAAAAGAAACAAACAAACAGAGACTGTGGCAAGGTTTTGCCTGTACAGACAAAGTACTTTAAAGGCTTTTTTCAACGTAATATACAGCAGCTTCTTATAATTTTCTCAGCAGTAGGTAGTTTACAGTCATCTGTACCTAGAACAAATCTTGTCAAAAATGAAGGTCTGTAGTGATTGCTGGGTATAATTTTATACATTTAGCTGATTCTTCTGAAAGCTTCCACTGTGCTGCTGTTGTCAGACTAAATTATCAATTTAGCCATTTGTTGTTTAATGAATAAAAAACTCCTATGGCATTGGAGATGTTGTGGTTTCAATAAAGCAAAAGCTTTAACAACTCAAACTACAAAAAGCAAAGTGTGTACTGTATATAAGAACAGTGTTTTTATTCTTTTAAATACCACTTTAGATAAAAAAAAAAAGCCAATTACATATTCACTTAATACATTTCTTCTACTTCAGCCCAATGATGCAGACCAAACCTGTTTACTGTTCACTTCAGTACCTTGCAAAAGGAAACCAAATACAATATGTGCAAGATAATAGGCCATTAGCACAAACATGCTCCCGGTGAAAATCTTTTGTGTAGGCACCCTTTCTAGAAGCTGCCAATTGTGGGTGATAGAAGTATTGTAAAGGAAGTGATTTTAATACTATTTAAGGCATTAAAAGCTGAAGAGTATCTGTTTAAAGCCTCAAAGTAAGGGTTGCATGTATCTAATACCTTTTAAAATGCCCTTCTGCTGATTTATATTCATCCTGAACCTGCTAATAATGAGTATACATAAGCAAATACCATCTTCCACCTATTCAGCATGTCACTGGTATGAAAGCCCCAGAAAATATCTCACGTAATCAGTGTGTTCAGAGAGTTATCTAGCACAAATTACTCATTAACTCAATAGCACATAATAAAAAAGAACATCAATTAATTAATGAGTCACCCTCAGATCACTTTGATTACAACACAGCTCTGTTGAAACAGCAGTTATAAATGGAGCTGCCTCTCTTTATTCATTGTTTGCAATTGGCCCATTATTTTGCAGAGACCAGTGTCATATTTAACACATGCCTGCAGGTAATTGTGTGATTAGTTTCATAAATGAAGATGCAGAGGGGGAACGCGGAGTGTCTTGCTCCTGCAGGCAAGTCTGAAGATGCAGGAATCCACCGTACCTCCTGCAACCTGCCGTGCCAGCAGACCTCTGCAGTGACCAAGAGGCCAGCCTTCCTCTGGACTTCAAGGTCTTAGTGACAGGACAACACTCACAGCTAGTCGTACTGACCTCTACTTTCATCTGAAGATCTCAAAGCCCTGGCCAAACACCTTTGACTTAGGCCTCCCAACAGGCCCTGTTGCTGGTATTTCATGAAGAACACCACAGAGCCAGAAAGATTAAGTGGGCTGCCCGAGATCACGCAGCAAGTCTGTGCTCCTCAAACCCCACTGTTAGCATGACTTCTAAGACTTCACACAACCACCCCATCCTACCTCTTGCCAACGCTGGCTCCAGTGCTACGCTTGGAACAACACATGCAAACTCCTCCTTGATGCTCAGGGATGGACTGAGGAGCAAGGAGAGGCCCAACATCCAAAGCTCCGTTGTGGTGAACTATGTTTAGTACATATGAGCTGGGGAGGGGAGTGAGGAAGGCTGGTTGTTTTATTTTTAAAAGTTTTTTAGAGGAAAGATTAATAAAATAACACAAAGTCACCACCTAAAGTTCCTAAACTATCTTGGTTAAATGCCATTCCAATAAGCTTATAGTGTAATTATAACAGTTCCCTTAGGTAAGTAAGAAACATCTGTTAGTAACACATAGCAGGTGTTAGCAATTACACATACTGATTTTTTTAAAGTGTTTTTAATTAAAAAGAATTCTGTTTTCTGAAAAGGAAAGCATGGTAAGTCCAAACAAGCTTTTGTTTGTGTGGCTCTAGATCATGTAGTATGCAAAACGATAAAGGCAAAATCAACTTAAATTAGCAAGGGTTTGCACATTTGACTCCAGATTATTGCAATCAAAACCAAATTGGAATTCACTGCATTATTGTAAAGCATGTAACATTAGTATTCTAAGCAAAGTCTCATCTAATGTATGAAATCCATACAGCTCATGTAATCACTGAATAAATCTAAGTAGAGCATTTGAACCTAGGAAGATTGCTGTAGTTAAGCAAAATATGATAGGTGTTGTAAGAGAGGAGCAAATTGCAAGGAATTCTGTATAATAGTTCCTTCACATTCCCTTTGTCCCACTACTGAGAAACAGTTGCTAGATTATGTTAGAGTAAAATCAAACTATGTTGTCAAATTACTTTGAAAAACTAGCCAAGAGCAATTTACATTTAGTAACGTGATACGCTGCATCACTGAGAAATATCAAGAAAGAGCCACATTGGAAGGCCAACTATTTAGAGGTGTTTTTAATCTAATCCAAATTAAAAGAGAATGAGATGACAAATTTGTTTCCCTGTCCTGATGCTATCTCTCCACAGATGTCAAGATTAGGGTATCAGGCATATCAGGAATT